GCCCAAGCATTAGTTAATAAAGAAATTAGTAAGCAACTTCCTAGTACAATTAGTAATACTTTATTACGAAAAAGAAAAGAAAGAGCACAAAAAATTTATAATTTATTTAGTGAAATTGGAGAAAATAAAATTCAATATCTTAAATCAATTTCAGCTTTATCAATTTCAAAATTAAGTCAAGATGAAATTGATACTATATTAGTTCATTTTTCTCAAAAATAAATATTTCAAGTTAATAGTATATTATATCCAAATTACAATATTATGTATCTACTATATTATGCTTTGTATAACTATATTATATATTATTTATAAAGTCAGTAATTGTTTTCAAAATGGTATTTGTTAGTATTTCAAATTGGTAGTATGTGACCCTCAGGTCACAATGTCATGTGACTACTGTGCTATATATTGCACTTTGTATAATATAATACATGACCTCACAGATCACATTTTTATAAAAAATATTAATATATAAAGTCGATAACTGTTATCAAAATGGAATTGGGATTGAAAAGATGAATAAAATATTTGCTTATTATTGTAAAGTAATGATGATACAGAGTATCAAATCTACAATTTCTATTCAAGTCTATAAATGATCAGCTGATATAGGCAATGTTCGTGGAATACTTCAAGTTGGTATTCTTGATATTTTTTTTCTAAGAAAATTATGAATTCTAAGAATTCTAAGAATTCTAAAATTATTAAGAATATTTTAATTCTCAGAATCTTTATATTTTATAAAAATGACAAATTTTCATGAATATTATTCAGGACTTCTTAAGAAATTACCTCTTTCTATAAAAAAAAATATATGGAATCGTCTTATATCTAGATTACATAATCCTTTATCAAAAGAAGAGGCAAGTAATATTCATCCTAATATTGAAATATTGCTAATTAGTGAAGTTGATAAATATGAAAAGAAAAAAAATCATCAACGTTGTAAACCTGAAGAAATATTGCTTCATAATAAACTTTCAGATGATACTACCTTTACTAATATCCGAGTAATTAAGACCCCAAAGGACATTGCTCCACAGGCCCAAAAGGGCAACCCTAAAGGGTCATACTTTGAAGAAGAGGTTAATACTAAAATCAAAGAAGCTACAGATAATTTACGTCAAGAATTTATTAAATCTACTGAGGAAACCTTAAAAACTATTAAGCAAC